GGTGTATTTCAAGTCTAGCATTATGCAAGATGAAAAAAAGCCCCCATGCTGACACTTTTGGACATATTTTTCAGGAAAGCTAAAAAGAGGCATATTAAAGCATCGACCTTTCTAGCCATCTCTGGCACATGACACAGATGTGTATGTTGGCTCCTTCCATGCCAATGGGTACTGAAGAAACAGACTTATCAATGGCCTCTGGGTGCTCTGGGCAGCAGCTTTGCCTCTGAACCACGAGCCACCTAAGAATGAGGGCTGGCTTCCATTCCCAGCATTGGCACCGAAACGTCAGGACCAGTGAACGCATCTGCCTGGGTCCTCCCAGTTGATCTCCCACCTGTCTGTCTGCTCAGACGCACGCGTCAGGTTAGATCGACAGGGCACGGCTGCTGAGCTATTGCGTAGAAACAGAAGAACATGAGCAGACACGGTGGAGCACACAGATCACCACAAAGAAGTACAGGCTCTCATCTTAACCCTACAGGTTCTCTCTCCAAACCACCACGAAACTGCTAACACACTAAAGGCTACTAATAACTACGGGGTAGTCATTTAACGCTACCTTACACTCAGGATAGTGAGATTGGAATGATAACTGAACTCCCCAGAAGTAAAAGAGGAAAGATATAAGCTCTGTAATTTAGAAATCTGCTTTCTATTACAAAAACAATACCCTGCACCTGTAGTAATAATCCTCAACGAGAAGACCGTCCAGACGTTTAGTTTANCCTGCTGGAATCTGGCCAACTGCGCCTTGAGCTTTGCCTCCTGTCCCTGCAGCGTTTGAACATGAAGGTCTTTGGCGATCACCTCTTTGGACATTTGAGCAATCTGGGCATCCCAGCCAGCCTTGAGAGCTGATGCGTCTTCACGTAGTCTGAACAAAGGAGGGAAACCACGTGAATGTGAGTGGGGTTCCCACACGCTCACTCCAGCTCTCTTATCCAGCGCCCCCAACACACATGCGCACATGCACGCATACGTGCACACACGTGTGCGAGCACACATACTTGCTCAGCCCTCAAAGGAAATGTCACATTAGAGCTGAAACTTCCTTGCCTAGATTAAGGAAATGGTTTGACCCAAGAAGAAATATCCACCCTGCGTCCATGCATCCCACCAACCCAGACATAGGCTAAAGGCTGCAGCATGCCTGGTGCTGGCAGGTACTGAGGTGGGAAGGGCAGGCAGTGCTGTCTCGGACCCGCTCACCTTTGCAGCCCCTGCCATGTCTGGCATGCATGGAGACATTCAACATGATTTACATATTGAATAGTAAAATAAGGTTCTACAGAACCCTTTAAATAACCTTAACAGTAGAAGGCCTCTGGTAGAATTACCAAAAATTGGATAAATTTTCCAAGAAAAACGTTTAGAGAAGACATCTAGAGATATTCACTAGGGTAGCCCTAGCACCTAAGAAAGACAGCGCCTGCCTGCCTGCCTGCCTGCTTGGCTGCGGGCCTGCTTCTGTACTGGACTGCCTGAGTGACTCAATGAGCTCCTGCGATAGCCACAACAACTTCACATCATAAGGAACCTTTCAGATGCTCCTGAGCTGATGAACTTCCAACTGACGGACATTTAGAAGCAGAGGGTGAGCTGGCTACTCACAGAGGACACCTCTGGTCACGAGGGTTCGGTTAAACCCAGCATGTGCGGTGTATTTCAAGTCTAGCATTATGCAAGATGAAAAAAAGCCCCCATGCTGACACTTTTGG